ATGAGTTTGGGAGATAGATGTTTCTCTTTGTTTTCTGTTTATTTTGAGACAGGGTCTCATATATCTCAGGCTGGTCTTAAACTTGCTGTGTATAAGATGGCTTTGAACTCCTGGTCCTGCCTCACTACCCAAGTGATGGCATTGGAGGAGAGCATCATCACATCTGACTCTTAATTTAATGGTTGTTCTTTCATGCTTGTCTTCCATCATTTGTTTCTGTTACTTGAGATACTGTTAGTTAATTCTTTCCTACATCATAACTTTTTCAGTTGCGTTTTAGTTAGTAATGTCTCTTTAGAGAGATTAGAATACAGTGGAGTTATGGCAATACAACTGAGGTTCAGTAGAGTATCTGATGTGTATTTGGTGCTTACTGAGCTCTATTAAAAAGGAGTTTCATAATTTTATAGTGTAAGAATTAAATAACTTGGCCACTATTTCTGTGAGCTTATATTTTGCTTTACTGACTTCTGTAGTGAAGAATTCATTAAGTCACCTCATCATGCTTTCTCTAGCAACTGTTACACATTTAGTAGTTTTCTGCATCCTTGTGAATTTTGCTTCCTCGGTAGATTTTTAGGCTATTGTTATATTACTATACTTGTGTGGGAAGAAAAGAAAATGATTCTTTGCATTCTTAGCTGTGTGGTCTGCCCTGAGCTGCTTGTCTCACACACATTCATGGTAATCTACCCAATACCACGAAGTGTAGGTGTTCTCTGAAGGAATGAAGAAAATTAGGCTCTTAAAGGGCCATTTGAATAAGGTCTCTTAGTCAGGGAAGAGGGTAATCTTGAGATTTAGGTACAAATACTCAAATTCTGTTTTTCTTGTCATTACATGCGAAGACATAATATGTCAGAAACTCTGTATTACACTTAAATCTTTCCAGCATCCTTTTAAAGTATTTTGTATTCATTATTACAATGTGTACTTTGAGAATTACGTACACGATCATTTCCAGAGTGTTGCTCTCAGGTAGTTAGTTGTGACTTTCTGTGAGGTTCATTTGGATACTTGGGCACTACATGGTTTCCGAGACCTGAAGGAAAAGGAGTTATTGTCCTGTCTGTGGTAGGTTTGTGAGTCACAGAGACCAACGTTGCCATAGCATTAGCAGTCTTTGTCTGTGACTTGATAATACTCAACAAGGTATACTAGTTTATGTATAAGTAAGTATACTAGCTTATACAGTGCTTTTTAGAAACAGAATAGACTTCTAGAGGCTGAGAAGATATTTGTTATGTCTTCATTCATTTTGGTCTTGACTCACTCAAACATAAAATTCATGTATCCGTGTAAACAATGCAAATAATTTACCAGATAAAATTCCAAGTAAATTAAGTTCTTCTTTCAGAGTGAAAAATAAAATGATTTAAGCCCATTGTAAGATTAAGCTTACATTGTAAGATGAACTCTGAAATAATTACTTACTTGCATTTCTAATATAACCAGTTCTCATATCTCACTTGGTGTGATTGTGGTATGATAATACGGTTTGGGTTGTATTGTTTCCATAACCTTTCCACTTAACTGGTTGATTAAATCAGATTTAGAGGGAAATGTTTCATGAGGTCAAAGGCTAGGTTTGTAAGTTTAATTATTTCATGGACAGCAAACACATTTTTCTTGTCTTATAATCACAATTTCCTTTTAGTTACCCCACCATTTGAATGACACAAGTTGCAAGTGAAAAATCATATTGATCAGTTTTGAGCTGCTCTCTGTGTAAGGACTTTGATGAAGGAGGTAGGTTTAGTTATGGCAGGGAACTACCAACACCATATCAGTTATGCTCCATTACTGAAAATGGATATAGATTGGCAAATCTATTTGGTAGCAAAAGACTAGTAGGGGAAGAATTGCTTGTGTTGTGGATGACAGCTAAGGAAGGATTGAGGCAGTATCTGTGTTGAATTTTAGGAATCAACTTGATCTTTTGAGCAAATGAGAAAAACTAAATTGAAGATAACTACTCAAGGTTGTTATAAAGTTTGGTTTATAATTCAGACTTTATAAACTCTGGAGGTAGAAGCAGGAACATAGAAGTTCAAGGTCACACTCTACTAATCAAGTTTGTGGCTAGCCTGGTATACATGCCTTAAGACAGTAAAAAGATAAACTCAGAGTTCATACTTACATCCTATGTTAATTCTTTATGTGTCATTGTAGATGTGCTGACTAGTTTTATATCAGCCTGACACAAACTATAGACGTCTCAGAGGAGGCTCCTCAATTGAGAAAACTCCTCCCATAAGATCTGGTAGCTGGCAAGCCTGTGGGCCATTTTCTTGATCAGTGACTGGCTAAGCAAGCCATGAGGAGCAAGCCAGTAAGCAATACTCCTCCATGGTGTCTCTATCAGCTCCTGCCTCTAGATTCCTGCACTGCTTGAGTTGCCATCTTGGCTCCCTCCAATGACAAACAATGATAAGGAAGCATAGACCCAATAAGCCCTTTCCTCCTCAAGTTGCTTTGATTTCATCAGAGCAACAGTAACCCTGAGGGTTAGGTATGCAATATATTAACATTTCTGGAGATAAGAAAGATGGGCAAGACTTACTTTTGTTTTAGAGAAGTTGAACTAATCCATTTGGAATGCAGAAAACTGTACATAAGGAATGTCTTAAGGTGGTTCCCCGGAGAAAGCTCTTAATGCTTGAGCCTGATGACCTGCGTTTGCCCCTTAGAACCCATGCAAGGTGGAAGGAGAGAGCTGACTCCACAGTTGCCCTCTAGCCTCCTCCTGCACCTGTGGAAGACATCCCCATTCTCCCCCAACAAAAACAACATTAAAAAAACCCCACTGCTTATTGAGTTTATAATAAGTGAACCTTTTCTTTTCACTCATGTACATATCCATTCATTGTTGAATGTCTATAATGTGCTAGGTTTCCTTGTTGCTTTTAGGAATACAGCAATGAACAAAACAGATCCAGTGGAATCTGAATGGTCAAAGGTAGAACTATGTTCTTTGTTAGTGTGATAAAAATTACAGCGTGATGGGAAGGACAGAGAGTAATAGACTGTAGACTAGGGAGTGGAATATAGACTGTCCTCTGATGAAGCAGCTCATGAGCAGAATCTTAGGACTTCCCAATCTTCCTTATCCTTCCTTTCTCACGTGGAGATTGAACATGGGGCCTTATACATGCTAGCAAAATCTGTACATGTGGTTTTGAGATAAAATCCGAGTGTACTTAAGTTCCCCAGACTGTCCTTGTGCTCATTCTGTAACCCAGGCAGGCACTGAATTCATAATCCTCCTGCCTCAGCTTCCTAAACTAGCTGGGTTACAGGCTTGCACAACCAAGCCTGGTTGTAAGGGCTGTTTTCTAAGCAGAGTAGTGATGGTGAACTTTTGTGTCTGTTGAATAACCTGGTGGTTGGGCTTTTACTGTTATGTGCAGGACCGGTGTTTTAAGGAATAGGTGGTACGCTGGGCTCTGTCACAGTCCTGTGTGATGTTAACAGAAAGATGCAGTGACAATACTGGAATATAACGTTTATATACTAAGCAATGAGGAAAATACTCTGAGAAAGCCAGAGACTGGGAAGGATAGCTCCAGACTGAATTTTGGTTATGTAAACTGAACCACCAAGATCAGAGGATTTTCAAATTGTTGGTCGGCTAAACAGAAAGAAAACTGGGGTGGGGGGGCAGGTGGCACAGATTTACAAATCACTATGTACAATCAGTTCTGTCAGTCAAAACTTAGGCAAGTGGCGTTTCAAGACTTTCTTATGGTAGATCAAAACAATTCTGTGGGATGAATAATTTAGCTGAATTGTAGATTTTAAATACCAGAGTTTGAAGCTTATTTTATAATGAACAGTGTATCAGATGTTTTTGAGTGGAGAAATAACACTGTGAGCATGATCATTTAGGAAATTATCTTAGGTTGAATACTGTCCACATCGGTTCTTTGTGTTGTCATGTTCTGCAAGGACACCAGGCAGTATACTTAAACTATTACAAAGCTTTACTGTAGCTCCAGAGAGTGATAACGTTTAATAAGTAATACATTCACAGAGCAGAAAAAGAAACATCCCAGGAGTTCATGGGCAGACTTGAAGAATGATTAAAATGGAGTAGTCCAGCTATTACTCATATTAGTGTTAAGTGGATACAATACATAGTAGTCTTGGCAATAGGAAGCTCACTTCATCACCTCTTGAATTTCAGTATCTAGTATGGTAAGTGAAGGTCACTGTGGGTACAGCTTTTGAAAGGAGGAGGAGAAGTTGAGATGGCAGGATGTATTAGTGGAAAATTAAAGAAGAGACAGAACATTGTAGAAGAGACAACCTAACAACTTGATTAGACCTGGGGATGGGTCGGGCGGTCTGAGTAGTTGGAAAGGAGATGGATAAATGGGTATAGGAACTGGTTTCTGAGACAGCTAATAAGCGTTATTTTCCAGAAGAAATTTGCTTTCTAAAATAAGCCTAAAAGCCTTCCTTTCTTACCAGAATTTTAGAACTAGAAGTTAATTCCCACCAGTGTCCAATGCATGGGTAGAAGTGTTTGAGAGGTAAACTCCATCAGCAGAAGAGGCCTGGAGGTTACCTGAGCAGCTGGGCTGGGGGCTGTTATTCAGGATCGCTCACTCACTGAGAAGAGGACACCGTGCAGTAAGACAGGGCCACACTAGTGCAAGCAGGAAATACCAATAAAGCCCTTCATAGTGAGAAGGTTGGCAGAATGTAATAAATTCCCAGAGGGATAAAAATGAATTCCTTCTAGAACATTCCAGAGAACTGCATAGCTTGACAGATTGCAATTTCCTCAAGTCACAGGATTTGAAAGAAGAAAAATGAAAGGTTTAGTTCCTAGTGTGAAAGTCCCCTGCACCTCCCTACCTCCTACCTCCTTTAAATGTTACTTTGTAGACTACCGTTTCCTCACTGAAGTCCTTTGTAAACTCTGGGTGCTCTTTAGTTTCTACCTCAGCTATTTGAGATTAAATTGCTCCTGAGAAGATGTGTTTTCTTTTTAGATCATGCCATATTCAGAAGTTGCTGAAGTTCCAGAGACAGTGAGTAATATATAATCCTGTGTTTAAGATGCTAAACTTTTCTGTGTTTTTCTGTGATTTCAAGTTGGAAGTGGGTATTTCCCACTGCGCTTTGTACATTGCCATTGTACAACACAGCAAGTGAAGATAGAAAGATCAGTTTAAAATTTTGTTCCCACTTCTTATTTTTTACTATAAAAGTAATGCATAATGGTTTATTATAGTTAAATAATGCACAAAAAGCATAGTAAGTAAACTCTGCCTCTTAAATATAACCACTGTTAATGCTTTAGTGCATCTTTCTTTAGTTAGTATGTGTTTGTCTTATATTAACTGTTGTAAAAATGGGATAAATACTTAGGGACCAAAGCACTGATAAGCTCAAGTTCCCAGAAAAAAAGTTGCTTTAAAATTTTTCATGTAAAACTCAAGTATAAAATGTGCACACTTTTGCACATTAGAGGAATATGAGAAATTCAAGCTAAGTATAGAGTGATGATGACTCCTGTTCTAAGAACAAGTAGCTCCCAGCTGCATCATATACCCTTCGCTGAAGTTTCTTATTCTCAGAGCCAAAGATAACACTGGATAGAACCCTGAGATGCTTTGTGTAACCCTTCCAAATGTGGGCTCTGGGGCAGTCTGAGCAGGATTGCTTCAGAGAGTGACTGATTGATGAGCTGCTGTATTGGGGGAAAAGGTGCCACCAGCAGTGTCCTTGCTGGATAAGCTCTCTGGTTTCCCTTATGCTCACCAGATGGCTTAAGGCAAGTTAGTGTGTACACACTAAGGAAGAAAGTACTGTTTGAAGCTATAAGATAAAAACTATAGTCTGGGATCGTTTCTGTACCATAGGGTGACTGCTGTCTTGGTTTGGCTGAGACTGGGGAGTTCTTAGGTTGAAGGGCATGGTGAATAAACTTGTCTTTTGTCCTTTATGTTTCTTAAAGGTGGAATGCTTGTAGATTAGGTGGCACACATTTGGATTTACAATACAATAGATCACAGTCTTCATATCACAGTTTTTATGAGACTCATAGACTAATTAAGATTTAGATAATTCTTGTAATAAGTGTTCCTAATGAAAGTGCTTTGTAGCATACAAATTCCTAAATAAAAATTTCCAGTCATACTATTTTTTTTAAAAATTATTTTCAGTCAAATTAGAAGATTTATTTCTGTAACAAGTTACTGAAATGAGTTTAGGTGTTTATTAATAAAAAGAAACTGCTTCATCCTGTCTTAATGGTTTTTCACTCTGAGAAGTTTCTGGATTCTTCAAGATGTGAATAGTATTTTAGTATTTCAGCAAAAATCAAGGAATGCCTACCTTATAAAAAACATTCAGGGAATGCCTACCTTATAAAAAACATTCAAGATAGTTGTGTAGAGTTATCCCAAAGTAGTTATTTCGCAGTCTTTCTGTGTTACACAACGTGGTACTGTATCCCAACAGTGTAAGGGCAGCACACTAATGTCTACCCAGTGAAGAAGTTACTTGTGAGAAGATGCTTGCTTGCTTGTGCCTCCTTCCCATTAGCATCGTTCACAGGTGACTTGGGAAGGATGCTTTACTGATGTCCCATTTAGTGCCTCCTGTCCATATCTTCCTGGGAAATGTTTCCTGATGCCATGGTGTTTCAGCTTTGCTTTTGGAGTGTTTTCACTTGAGTCTTAGATGTGTTGTCCATTATAAGCTGGCTTTCTGGTACTGCTCCTTTATACTATGACATTTGTCAATCATCAGTGACCAAGGCATTCAGGTCATAAATCTAACTCACACATTTCATCATTTGTGCATCTTCTACCAATCTGAACCTTTTCTCTGTACAGACTTGGTATATCCAGCTACCTTCTTGGCATCCACTTGGATATCTTAACAGACGTCTCACATGTAGCCTTTCTAAGGTCCTTGGCAATTCCATCATCAGGTGCTCAATTTAGACTGCTTGAAATCATCTTGATTCCTCTCTTTTACCTTCCACTTGTTCTGCTTGGAAATCCTGCTGCTGTAATTTCAAATTATATTCAGAACTGAATAACCTTTCATCATCTGTGCTGCTGCTACCGTGTTATTCTCAGATTCTTTCAGTAAAGTCCACTTATACTCTTGTTCTTAAAGTATTTTCAGAATAGCAAGTTGGAGTAATCCTGCTAAAATACAATCAGACCACGTTAGTCCCTTTCTCAAGATCTTTTTTTTTTTTTGGCTTCTCTAACCCTGTTCAGAATACAGCCGAAGCCTGAATAAGGTCATGCAAAGACTCCCATAATCCAGCATCCTCATACCTCACTGATTTTGTTGTCTAGCTTCTGCATGCACACTGTTTCCTGATCCTTGGCACTGGCTGACAACCCAGTCTTCTGTCTTTGCTTTTTGTTCCCTGTAGAATCCTTTCTGGTGGTTTTCTTTACCTTGTTTGGTGGACCCTGTAGTAGGGTGTTCTTAGGCTACCTGTCCTTTCCCCTGATGTTCAGTATGCCCCATTCTCTGCTTATCTTCTCCTTTTATTTGAAACCATGTAATGGTTATCATGGTCTTCTCCATTAAAACTTAATGCTACTCTGACAGAGTTCTGATTCTGTGGTGTGTGGATCAGATGCAGGGGCAGAGCTAGGCATACACTGTACCTCTGAGGTACAAACCCCAGCCCAGGACAGTATTCTTTTGTCTATTTCATTTACTGCTAGTATCCTTTGGTGCTTAAAATGATATATGACTATAATTGTTACTCGGTAAATATTTACTGGATTATTGACAGTAGTTATTTTCAATTCAGGGTATTATTCACTGTCACACTGAACAAGTTAGAATTAATCCAGTGGGATAAGATACAATTGGCACAGACATATTGAAAGGTATAATGTTGATATTATAATGCAATTTTTGGAACAATACTTACAGTTACTGTCTACTCTAGAAATAAATTTTTGAGAGTGAACAGGTGAGGAACAGAAACTGCACAGAATTGGAGACTGTAAAACAAAGCTGTACAATGAAGACGAGCTTATTATTAACTTTTTACTCCAAATAGAAGATGGATTTTTTTCTTTTGGTTTTTCAAGGCAGGGTTTCTCTGTATTGCTTTGAATCCTGTCCTGCCCTGGAACTCGCTCTGTAGACCAGGCTGGCTTCAAATTCACAGAGATCTACCTGCTTCTGCCTCTCAAGTGCTGGGATTAAAGGTGTGCGTCACCAGTGCCCGGCTAGAAGATGAATTTTAAAACCTTCAAATATGTAGGTTTAATAAAACTAAAATTTTCTGGTGTATATCTATGTGCACACACATGCATGCTCTTGGGTATTTGTGTATGGTTAAAACTATAGTTTTTCTTAGTGAAGCTATTGGTAAATCCAGGGAAAAATAATAATTAAAAATCTAAGAAATTAAAAAGGCACAAGTATTTGTGATAATCCAAAATGGCACCCACTGATCCTTATTCCCTGGTGAGCAATCCCCGTTCTGTCCTAGAGTACACAGAATGGCTGTATTTTCTTTGTTTGTTTTAGCGTTACTTTTTGAGGTGGATTGTTTTAAGACAAGTAAATCTAAGTTTTCTCTAAATTTATCATCCCAGGAAGTTTTTAAACACAGATACTTTGAAACATTTTAGAGTTGGCTATAATGTCTCTGTCAGCTTCCTGTCTTCTTACAGTTTCCTAGTATTATTTATGTGTTTATTGTCTCATAAATGATCCCAGAATTAAGTCATATTAAACAATGAGCATTTATTTCAAATTTTGTGACCCAGGAATCCAAGAGTAGCTGGTTGCAGTTAAGATTAGGGAGGGAGTTCTGCTGTTATCTCCATTGAAAACTTGATTGGCTAGTGAGGAGATACCCTCTTCAAGTTCACTTAATGCTTCACCTCAGCGTTCGCCTGGTACCTTATGGAGAGCTCTTTTAGATTGACCTGTGAGAGAATCCTGTACACAAGACCTTCTCTAGAAGAGGTCACCATCCTTTTTCCGTAGACCTGGTGGTGCATGCTTCTTGACAGTCGAGGAGCTGCGGCAGGAAGATGAAGGGTTTCCGAACAGCCTGGGCACTGTGTGCAAACCAATCCTACACCTCCTGCCCCAAAGCAAAAACCGACAAAAGGAAATAATGCAGCTCTGCACACTCCAGGAGACAAGGCACTGTTCACCAGGGAATAAGGACCACTGGGGGACAGTTTAGACTGTCTGCACAGCTGCTTTTGCTGCTCTAGTTTTTAAGATTTAAGTTCTGTGTTTATGTGTGACCTTCTTTGCAGAAGTGTGCATGTGAGAGTGCAGGCTCCTGCAGGGTCCAGAAGTGAGTTCTCTGGGGCTGGAGCTACAGGCGATTGTGAATTCGGGTCCTCTGGAAGAGCAGCAAGTGCTCTCTACAGCTGAGCCATCTCTCCAGCCCTGACTCACAAATACTTTAATCTTTTACCCCTCTTAATCTCCTCCCTCAATTTTTGTAATAAGGACCTGAGCACAATGAGTCCATTGTTTGCAAAGCTGTACTCTGTGAAACTGAAATCCATTCATAGAAGAATAAGCATGGATTGGCATCTGAAGAAAATAGACACTAGAACAGGATACCCAGAATTGCTCAATAGCTATCACTTAGGAAAGTGGCAGGTAGGAGAATTTCTCCAAGGAGATGACAGAGCCTCAATCACACAGGTCAGGTCACCTTGTTTTGTCACAGCCAATGACAATTCCTTCACTGTGCCCAGAAACAGTGTAAGCAGTGGCAATTGTTAGTTTGGTGTGTACATTAGATAGCTGAGAGTTGTGTACCTACTAAGGGAGTCCCCAGTAATGCTGGAGGATAAGAGAGTTTTGAGATAGAGGGTTGATTTTAACCTCTTCTTGAAAGAGCTGAATCCTTTGCCTGGTGTGGGGACCAGGGACATAGGAGGCTGGAGGAAGAGGACTGTGGGATTGAGGTCAGCCTAGGATACTCCGTGAGGCTGGGTGGGGTGGGGAATATCTTCTAACTTCCTAAAGGACAAGGAGCTCTAGATTATGCTTGTCTTTAACAAGTCCTGAGAAAATTATGTCTAACTTAAAACTTATTCTTGGGTGATTTATCTGACAATAACTTTCTCTCTTTATTTTTTGCCATTTGGTTAAAAACTGATCTATTTTGTTGCTATCTTTGTAGAAACAGTTTGCACAATGCTTGCCTTATAATATGCAAGAATTAAAGATTCTCCTTTTTGTGTAAGACTAAATCTCTGTAGAGAGTGCTCTGATAGCATGCATACTGCTGTTGAGCAGAGTATGAGGGGTAGGCATTTTTAAAGCTTTAAAATTAAAGGCAAGAGTGCAGAGTGCTCTTAGGTTTCTGAACAAGTTTTATTGCTCCTAATCCTTACCTTGAATTGGAATCAAAAGGAACTTTTGGCTTGAGACATTGCAAAGCAATGCAGTTTGGTGATTCCATTTTCTCTTTCTACCTTCATTTCCCCAAGTTAAAACAAATATTTGGTATCGCCTAAGGCAAGACTCTTCTGGTGTAGAGAAGGAAATGTCTTATAAATTATGACGATTGACACTAATGTGCATGCGCTTCCTACTCACAGACTAACGCTGTTCCTCTCGTCCTTTTGTCTCACTGCTGCTTCCGTCCGGTGTCTGCTTCTTCCTGGCTTGGATTTTGTGTGTTTGCTGCTCAATTCCTCTGCATTAAAAGCTTCTTGGTGATAGCAAAGATGTCCTTGGGCCATCAAGTAAGTAGCTAAAGTTGGAATGTCATGTTTTGGGGACCTGGTAATATTTTGGTGTTACTTATAAATGACAGTACTTCAGTTTTGATTGTAGAAATGCTCAATGCCCACTGTCTGTATGTTGCACTTGTCCATGTGAAAGCCGTGGACAGAGTCTGTACTGACATCACAGTCATCCAGAGCAGTGGTCCTCAACCTGTGAGCCTCGACCCCTTTGTGGTTGAACAACCTTTTTGCGGGGGTCACTTAAGACCATCAGAAAACACAGATATTTACATTACAATTCATAGTAGTAGCAAGATTACAGCTATGAAGTAGCAACAGAAATAATGTTATGGTTGGGGTCACAAAGCATGAGGAGCTGTATTAAAGGGTTGCAGCATTAGGAAGGTTGGGACCCCCGCCCCACTCTAAAGGATGAGTCATTATTTAGGATCTCTTTCTCACAAGATCCTTGTTCAGTCATCACAGACATAAAGAGATCATATGAGGAATTCACTGACTTGTCAAACTGAGAAATAGTGTTTAGGTTTGTAGTGTTTTAATATAATTTGATAGTGATTTTTTGTTTGTTTTTTTTGAAAATATGTTTTAGAGCTCTAGAAGATTATCCTCCCTTAAAATAAAATTGTATCCACTTTACTGTGCCAAATATTGCTGGTTTTGTTTTTGTTTTCTAAATAGGATTGCACTTTGTAGTCGCATGGCACCTCAGGATTGTTTCAGTTCATCTAAACAGTGACAGGAGAAGTTGTTACATTAAAAAAATCATAGCAACACTGAGCTGAAAATAACTTCTAGAAAGACCAGTTAATAAAACACTGATTTTATAACTGAGGAGTCTGAAGCTAAAAGCTGGCTCTCCAGGGAGCTTCAGGTGGCTGCTCACCTACTATAGACTACTGTTACTGACACTGCAAAGGGAGAGCCAAGTATTGTCTCATAAAAACCATTAAAGTTCCATCGATCATAAATTAGACAGAGGTTTTGATTTTTTTAATAATAACATAGGAAACTGATTTAGAAGTTTTAGTGTTGATGTCTAATAGTCACCTCACTGTTGCAAGCCATTTGGGGTTCAAAGAAAGGGACTGAGCAAGATAATGGCAAAAGTTTTTCATAATGAGATGTTTGTTATTGTTGTTATTCTAAAGAGTGGGTGATTGGTGGCATGAATATGATTACATAAATTATGTCATTTTCCACAATTAATAGATTTTAATAAAAAGTGGAATATATATAATCTTTGGTTTATGTTAGTTGACTTTTTCTCAAATACTGGTTAGAATTCATATTAATTATTAAATAAAATGATAATTTAAAGTAACATTAAGTTTTAAAAATAGCAACAGTTATTACTTAAAACATGCTGTATATTGCAATATTATCAGATAGTGGAAAAAATTTTAAAGTAGAGCATAAATCCTTTTTTACCCAGTTTTTGTTTTACCAAGAATATTTTTAAATCTCAGGTACCCTCTACAGATATTACTATGTCCTGTCAGTACCATAATTCTATAAAAGACAGACTTTCATAAACGTTAAGGGGAGTTAGGTTACTTAGGTGTCTTATCTTGGTGTCCTGAAATGTTTGAGTTAAATTCAGGAACTAAGGATGGTGATAGGTTCACACCTGGTACAGTAACCATAGTATTAATTATTACAGTGTGATTTCTGTTAATAGGAGCTGCAAAGTAGTCTACTTGCACTATAAGTAGAACCAGCAGAGGGCACTATAATGTCACCATTGGCAGGTGAATAGCTTGTCAAAAACTAGGCTGCCATGGTGATTCATTTGCCAAACAGCTTTTCAGTCATTTAGCAAATATTTATCAGTTGTGTCAGTAGATACACACAAAAACAAAGTCATTGTGCTTCTTAAGCTTCTGTTCAGATATTCCACTGTTGTGCACTTCCTGTAGGACACTGATGATTTGTATTAAGAAGAACTTCCTTCATCTGCAAATGATTACTGTTGGTGAATGGGTTGAGGCAAAACAAATATGAAGATGGGCTTTCTGTCCTGCTGTAAAGCACTGTGAAAAAAGATGTTACCTGAGAGCTGAGCATGGCGACACCTGTCTGTAATTCCAGATCAGGGAGGCAGACAGACAGGAATATGTGAGTTCTGGCCAGTTTGGGTTCTTGTTTCTTTTCTGATATGAGAGACCGAGTCCAAGGCACCTCTCTTACGCTAGGCAGGTGCCCTGCCAACCCTGTTTTTTAAAGGGCTGTATATGTATATGTAATATGTTGAGAATTTGTTTTTTGTAGTTGATGTATTTCTTTGATTCATCTCTGCTGTTTGATCAAGAAATAGATGCCATATACTATTCTAGCTTATGCTTGTGCCACCATTTATTAGCCTATTTTATTATTTTATTTTTTATGGGACAGAGTCTTACTGTGTAGTGCTGGCTTGCCTAGAATCTGCTATAGGGAGTAAGCTGCTCTCAAAGAACAGAGCTCTCCCTGCCTCTGCCCTCCAAGTACTGGGTTAGTCATTAGAATTAGTATTGTCGCTTTATTTTACGAGTTATGTGTGCTTTGCCTGCATGGGTGTCTGTGCACCTGGTGCCAGCAGAGGGCAGGAGAGGGTGTTAGTGCCCCTAGAACTGGAATTACACATGGTTGTGAGTTGTCATGTGTGTATGGGGAATCTAACCCAGACTGTCTGAAGAGCAGTTAGTGCTCTTACCTACTGAGCTGCTTCTCCAAAGTACTTCCTACACACCCCGTTTTATTTTTAGTTTGTGAGTATTTAAGCTGTTTGAGGGCCTTCGTTTTCTCTAAGATCATGTAGGAGTTTTTCTAGGCGTACGAACAAGATCGTGTTGCATTCATCAAGTATGTACTAGTCCCCAAGTTGTTCCCCAAAGTGCTAGTATCAATTTATATTCCAGTAGTGCCCAAGATCTTGACAATCCCATCTTCCTTATTTAATATTACTAATTTTTCAACTCTGATGCCTATAAAATATCCTGCTGTGAAACTGGCATCTACCTCCCTGATTATTAATCAGGAAGAATATTTTCATGTGCTTTTTGGACAGTTGCATTTTCTGTGAAATATTTTTCAGTTATTCATTCTATTTTTTCTGTGATGCTGTTGGTCTTTTTGTTGATGTATAGGAGCTATAGCTCAAACACTTTAGATACAACCTTGTTAACTATATGGTTGTGAATATATTTTCCTGTTCAGTGTTTCTTCATGTTCATTATGGGATTATCTGATGAATGAATTCACAATTTTGATGTGATAGTTATAGTATTTATCAGTTCCTTTTTGTATTAGTGTTGTTACATTTTTGTATAAGGGCATTGCCTTTATACATTGCCTACCCCAAATCTATAGAAATACTCTATTTTAAAAGTTTCCAAGTTTCGTATTTCATTTGTTTCTTTTAATTTCATGAGACTATTCTTTAAGTGTGTTACAATGAAGGGTGGTATCTGCTTGTTTGGTACACCCAATCAGTTGTCCTAGTGCCTTGCCTTCATTATGTGGCTAGACTATACTTATGAAGGGGTCTGTTACTGTTTTTCTGGACTGTTATTTAAATGACTTAGTTTTTTTGTGCATTCCTACTATTATAAATCTTATTTATTTTTTAATCAATCAAATTAATCAGATTTAATAGGTAGAGAAGCCAACATATATACTTTATGATAATGAAGCTTTTAAAAATAAGAAAGCTAGTTTGACTTTTAAGTAAAATTTTATCACATACCTTTAGTGTAACAGGAAGCAGTATCTTTATGTCAGGAAGAAAATCAGGATTAAGCATTTATGGAGAATGAGGCAGACAAAAACATTCCACTCATAAAATTTAACTTCTAGTGGAAGAGTGGAGGCAATAGTTAACTATTTCAGATAGTGATACGAGCTGCCATGGAAACCATGATGACCGACAATAGCTTGAGATGGGTAGACCGTAACACATAGATATTGGATTGTGCTGCATTGAAACCAAGAAGCAAGAAAGTATTAAATAGCACCATGAAGAAACCAAGACTTTCCCCAACAGATAGCATTTGAATACAGACTGCACGCAAGAGGAAAAAGAGTAAGGAAAAACCTGGCCCAGAGTATTCCTAATAGAAGGAACAAGAAACAGGCCCCAAGAGGCTAGAGAAATAGTTCAGGAGTTAAGAGCTTTTCTTCCAGAGGTCCTGAGTTCTGGTACCCACACTGTTAGCTCGTAATCACCTATAACTACTCAAGAGCAGCAGTTCTTAACCTGTGGGTTGTGACTCTCTCATGGGGTCACATATAAGTTATTCTGCATATCAGCTATTTACATTATGTTTCATAACAGTAGAAAAATTAGTTATAAAGTAGCAACCAAGTAATTTTATGGTTGGAGTTCACCCAACCATGGAGGAAGTGTATTAAAAGATGACAACATTAGGAAGGTTGAGAACCACTACTGCAGAGGGATCTGTCACCCTCTTCTGGCCTCCTTAGGCATCCACACATGTGTGTCATATACTCACATAGGTACAACACACATTAAAAAACTTAAAAACAAAACAAAACAGGCTCAGAAAACTGCAAAGTGGCAATTTTAAGGAATACTAAGGTGGCCCTTATTGCAGGAGCCGAATGGAATTTGAAAGGATAGAAAGGTGTCAGACCCTTGGGCTCTTGTGGCAATGGATCTATTCTAAGGAGAAAAGAAAACATGCTTACTCTTGTGCATTCTCTCTCTCTCTCTCTCCGTATATATCTCATATATGTATATATATATATCTACGTACATCTGTGATAGCTGCTGACTGGAGCAGTGGGTATTGTTTTCAGTTTGTCTTTTGATAGGCTGGCAGTTGGATATGTGAGATATTATAGAGGTTTAAGTTTAGAAGCTGCCTGTCCATAGCTTTTTGTTTGTTTTAACTTGTGGTAAATATTTTTGGTATCTTTACTTGGATAATAAATGAGAGTGCTTGTGTTTTGGTTTTGAAATACAAGGAGCTAAAATATAATTTTGAAAACTTTAGCACAATAGGGTGTAACACAAACAATAAAGACCCAGAGGCAGATACTAGGCCTCAAGCTGAAGATGAGAGAAGCGAAGCAGCCGCCACCAGCTCTCACCTCTACCTCAGACCAGAATGGGAGACCCTTTCTCCACGGATCCCAGAGCGCAAGGCAGACTGCACTGCTCTCCACCGTGCCTCAGACTGCAATCCCCTGAGTTCCTGTCTCCTCCCGCCTTATATTCCTCTGTGTGCCCAGCCATATCCCTCCTGTCTCCACCTCCCTAGTGCTGGGATTAAAGGCGTGTGATCCCAAGGGCTGAGATCACCTTTGTGTGAGCTGTTTAACTTTTAGACTGGATCAGTTTCATGTAGTTAGTTCAGTGTGGCCTTGAACAGAGATCCATCTGGCTCTGTCTCCAAGTCCTGGGAGACAGAGCCACCACCTCCTAGCCTCTATGGCTAACTAGTATGGCTGCTGGGATTGACGGTATGTATCGCCACTGCTTGGCTCTATGGTTGTGGCTAGCTTTGTATTTTGATCTCCAGTGACTTTATTAAATCATAAATAATATATCACCACAATAGGAAATATGTAAAAGCCATTTGAGTTTTAAAAGATACAGTGATAAAAATATCAATGAGAGGTTCTAGTTAATTAGCAAGTGAAAAGCTAGTCATTGATTTTTTTTTTTTAAGATGAAACTAAACCATCTGTAAGCACAAAAACAAGGAAAAATGAGGAGGAAATAGGGCCTTTAGATTTGGTTTGCCCCATTCCCTCATTACTTTCATTTTCAGCTTCTCTTTTCATCCTTTTGGGTTATTCCTGTATTTTGGTAGTTTGACCATATGGGTGAGAAGCAGCACAACGTTTTCTACAAACTGGTAGTTGGGATATCGAGGTTTTTTTTTTTCTTTTTAATATGGTATTAAAAAAAAAGACTTTTTTTTGTGTCAGCGTTTTGCTTGCAGGTATGTCTGTGTATGTCTTTTCCCTGTTGTAATGGCAGACAATGAAGAGTTAATGTTCCCCAGTGAAAGATGCACAGTATATAGGGGCCCCTATCATTTGGATATGTGCAATGTCTGTAGTGTAGATATTTAAATGAGACTTCTCTGTCTATTCGTCTTGACTTTATGGCAACTGAACATAAAAACAAAATGATTATGCAAGCTTATTGAAGTAGTAAGATTAATATAGTCATAAAGGAATTTGTTTTATTTCAGGTTATTAATTATGTCATAAAGCCCATGACTTTAATGATAACTGCTCTTCTTTTCTTTCCTTGAGCTGTTGTAGCAAACAGTGACGAACCTCAGCTTTTGACCCCAGGAAAGATGAATCAGCGCCAAGGGAGAGAGGCTTACCCAACACCAACTAAAGAACCGCCGCAGCCATCTCTCAGTCCTGCAAGTCCTCACAGCCAGGGTAAGAAGCCTCAGGGTGGAGTTCTAGTTTGTTCTCAGAGAGCTGACATTTGTCTGTCACAGTGCACTTCTACCTGGATTTCTGCAGACTTGTTGTTGCCGTTGTATTCGCAAGGGACTTAGACTCGACTTTCCTTAGACTCATCAACGCATTTTGTTAGTTGTTTCATTCTTGTAAATTAGATGTTCTTTCACTGTTTGGTCTTAGTGGCCTCCGTACAGCCATAAAAAATCAAAAATTTCACAGAGTTTCTGTTGTGTTTACTGTAATTCTTATTAATTGAATTAAAATAATAAATATAACTTAATATTAATGAAATTTTGTTTAACATCACCTCCTGTACTTTCATATTTTGGAAATTTTGAAATCTTCACTACTAGCTATTTTGAGAAACATGATTAGTTATGGTCATCCACAGTTACTGTGCTGTGTCACAGAACATTTAGTCACCCCTGTTGCTGGCACAGGAATACACACTTAAGATCCTAACAGGGTGCAGAGGTAAGAGAAGTGTGAGTTCAAGGCCAGGCTGGGGTACACGTTGATAACCTGTCTGCAGAAACAGGGGAGTAATTTTACACATTTGAAGCTGGTTAGAGTTAGCTATTCATTTTCTGCCCCCTCCCTCAATTCCCTTCCGTTTCTAGTTTATAACAACTCTTTTAGGCTCACTTCTGTAAGACTAGTTCTTTTACCTTCTGATTATTGATTCTTTTAGCCCCTGTACCTCTGGGTGCTTGAGTTCTGTGCCTGCTTACTTTGTCTAATATAGTGTCTTCCAATTCTCATTGTGTTGCTACTAGTGGTAGGATGCATTATTCTGTGCCTAAAAGTCACACACATATACCGCATGTTATTTATCTATTCATGAGCATTTAGGTTGATTATGTTATGGCTACTGTATTTCAGTAAATACTGATTGCAAATATTGTTTGAATGTCTATTTCCTTCATTTGAGTATTTGAAATTGCTTGATCGTGAATCATATTTTTATTGAAAATGGTGCCCCCTCCCTAACTATTTGGTATTTTTGCGCATCTTCTTTTTTTTTTTTTTTTTTTTTTTTTGTTTTTACGAGACAAGGTTTCTCTGTATTGTTTTTGAGGCTGTCGGTCCAGCCCGGCCTCAAACTCACAGAGATCCGCCTGCCTCTGCCTCCCGAGTGCTGGGATTAAAGGCGTGTGCCACCACCGCGCGGCCTGCGCATCTTCTTAATGTGTAGGTTAGTAAACAGACTCCTGTGGTTTTATTTCTGCTTCTATGCAGTCAATGTGTTGAGATAGATGACTTAAAGTATATGAATAAAATCTGGACATACACCTGTATACACATAACAAATCAGGTGTTCTTCTGTGTAATCCAGCAAAACTTGACAAATAGTACTCTTAAAAGTTGGAGGCAAAATGCAATTGGAAAATCATTTGTGAACTTTCAGCATACCATGAAATTTAAACTGGTCTGCTTTGAATTTTGTACTAAAAATATACTGTACGGTAGTGGTTTATACATTTCTCATTTTATCACACAGAATATTTAAATCTATGTATATAAAAGGTTCAAGATTAATATTTTTTTCACTGCTTTTTTGATGACTTGTCAACAAAACACATTCTTTTTCCATGAGTACATGGCAGCAGAGAACTTGGTGACTAATACTGTATTACAAAACTGGCTAAAGCCTTGCAGACCCTTTAAAAGGGTGTGAGGACCCCACACACCCTTGGACTGCACTTCCTAGTTTTTGGAGGCTCTGGCACTCAGAGTGTTACTGCATAGTCTCAGGTTCCCCTAGGTACTCCACAACTGCAGTGGGTGAGCTTTTTCTTTTAAGACTTCAGAACTTGAATTTATTGTTGTGTTTTATTTCGGGTGGTTTCAGTTATCTGCTCTGAATTAGGGTTTGAAGTCGTTAAATGGGAAATTCCACAAATGAGCAACTCCTCCGGTTTAAGTTGCACTCAGTTTTGAGTAATTTGGTGAAATCTTGCCCAAGATCCCGCTCTGTCCTCCCAAGAATGGGAATCATCCCTTTGTTCAGGGTATTCTGCTGGATGAAATACCCATTCCATTGCATGGGAGGGAGAACACTGCTATAAGTTCTACTACAGTATACTGTTGTAATTATTGTTCTGGTGGTGGTTAATCTTTTGTGGTACTAATGTTTACTTACATTAGTAGGTATGTCTGTACATAGTATAGTCTGTATAAGGGTTAGTACTATTAACTGTTGGAGAAGTCCTCTGAGGTCTTGGAATGTAATACCCATGGATAAGGGGAAAGGGAACTATTATTTAGTTACCTTGTACTTTGAAAAATTACATTTAGATCTCTGTCTATCATAATTATATTAGCTGTGTCAGGTTTTAATGTAACTTTATGAATTACCTTTTGATATCAGGCATGTTCAGTCCCTTCCCCTGAGCCCTTCTTGTTTTGGAGCCAGAGTCCTCCTGTGTAATTTAGACAGACTTTACACTATGCAATCTGCCATGATGACCTTGAATTCATGATCTGTCTGCTTTCACCACAAGAGTGCCATCATTACATGTGGATACCACCATGCCCAGTTTATGTGGTATTGGGGGATTGAACTTTAGCATGCTAGGTAAGACCTCTGTTACTGAGTTACATCCCAGTCCCAGGTCTTTATTTAGTAGGCTTGTTGAAATCAAAACAAATGGGTTGTTAATGCTATTGCATCTTCAATACTCAAGAACGTCCTTTGTGTCTCTGACTTCTCAGTAAACTGTCCCAATGTCCTAAATATTATTGACACTGTGATTCTGTTTACTATTATTTCATTTGTTCTTTTACCTTTTGTATTTCATATAAATTTGGAGAAATGTCAAGATTTGGTTACATTAATTTTGACCATTTTTTGAAGAATAGTGGGGGGCAGTATATGGTCCATCATGCACGAGAATTCACTTAATTTCTGGTTGTCCTAGTGGCCATGAGATTGAGTGGTAGGATCCAGTGGCACTATATTGAAAGTTGCAGCTTTTCCTCTTTGACTGAGTAGAACAGAAATGCTGTGTTTGGTGCTTCGAAAACATCCTGTTCTCTATCAACCTTTTACCTAACAGTAGAGACACATGTCTTTTTATAATATTTCAGACTGACTTTATGTGTTTGTATGTGTGACTGTATGCGCGTGTGTGCACGTGAGTGTGGTGCCTGTAGAGGCCAGAAGAGGGTGTTGTCTGAACCCCCGGAGCTGGAGCCCAGGCAACTATGAACTGCCTGGTGTGAGTGCTGGAAACTAAACCTAGGTCCTCTGAAATCGGAGCAAGTGCTCTTAACCACTTGTAAATCTTTTTGCCAAAAGATGGTTGTCTTAGTTCAGGTTACTATTGCTGTTATGAAACACTATGACCAAAAGCAGCTTGGGGAAGAAAGGATTTATTTTGCTCACAGTTTCATATAACAGTTCATCATCTAAAGTAGTAGTGAGGGCAGGAACCTGAAGGCAGGAGCTGATGCAGAGGCCATGGAGGGATGCAGCTTATGGGTTTGCTCTCATGGCTTGCTCAGCCTACTATCTTGTAGAACCCAGGACCATGGTGGGATGATGCTACCCACCATGGGCTGGGCCCTCCCCCATCAATCACTAATTAAAATGACTTAGGCTGGCTCTCATGAAGATATTTTCTCAACAGGGGCTCTCCCTCCTGATGAATCCAGCTTGTATCAAGTTGACATAAAACTAGCCAGTTACAACTGATCCCTTGTCAACTTGACACACAAACATCACTTTTCAATTATCACCAAGACAGAATGTTAATATCACAATATAGGATACAATAATTTAAAAATTCCACAGTTCCTAGAAATTCAAACATATTAAACATTCAGTCTCTTTAAAATATTTAATCACTTTAGAAATCTGGAATCTTGCCGGGCAGTGGTGGTGCACGCCTTTAATCCCAGCACGTGGGAGGCAGAGGCAGGCGGATCTCTGTGAGTTCGAGGCTGGGCTGGACCGACAACCTCCAAAACAATACAGAGAAACCCTGTCTTGTAAAAAACAAAGGGAAAAAAAAATCTGGAATCTTTTCTAAATTCAGAGTCTTTCAGCAGCCATGGGCTCTTGTAAAAAATAAAAATTAAGTTAGATACTTTCTTCAAGAAGAAGAACCGGTGCACAATCACAATCTGAACAAAGCAAAACCAGACTCCAACTGCGTAAATAACTAAATGTCCAGTAGTCTGGGACTCACTCAACATCTTCAAGGCTCCTCCAAGGGGCTTCTGCACTGCACCCATGTGCACACACACCTCTCCGCCACATATATACATCATTCAAATCAAATCTTTGTAATTTAACTTTTTAAAATTTAAATTAGAAACAAGCTTGCTTCACATGTCAGTCCCAGCTCCCTCTCCCCCTCCTCCCCCTACCCTTTAATCCCTCCAATCCCCCACCCAATCCCAACTCCACTCTCCAGGGAGGGTGAGGCCCTCCCTGGGGGGGAATCTTCCAAGTCTGTCATATCGTTCCAGGCAGGGCCTCGGCCCTCCCCCATGTGTCCAGACTGAGAGAGCATCCCTCTATGTGGTATGGACTTCCAAAGTCCATCTGGATGACAAGGATAAATACTGATCTATTGCCTGAGACCTCAAAGAATGCCAAAGCCTCCTCATTGACACCCACATTCAGGGGGACTGATCCAGTCCCCCATGCTGGCCTCTCAGCCATCGGTCTGGGGTCCATAAGCTCCCCCATGTTCAGGTCAGTTGTTTCTGTGGGTTTAACCAGCACAGTCTTGAGCCCTTTGCTCTTCGCTCCTCCCTCTCTACAACTGGTTTCCAGGAGTTCAGTTCAGTGTTTATCTGTGGGTGTCTGCCTCTGCTTCAGTCAGTCACGGGATGAAGGCTCTAGGATGGCAAAAAAGGTAGTCGACAGTCACATTATAGGGGAAGGGCATTTAAGGTAGCCTCTCCACTATTGGTTAGATTGCCAGTTGGTGTCATCCTTGTAGATCTCTGGAAATCTCACT